TCTCTTTCTCTCTTTCTCTCCTTCCTTCCTTCCTTCCTTCCTTCCTTCCTTCCTTCCTTCCTTCCTTCCTTCCTTCAGGTTTTTCGAGACAGGGTTTCTCTGTGTAGCCCTGGCTGTCCTGGAACTCACTCTGTAGACCAGGCTGGCCTTGAACTCAGAAATCCTCCTGCTTCTGCCTCCGCCTCCCAAGTGGTGGGATTAAAGGCGTGCGCCACCACTGCCCGGCTGGAAATCAGTTTTCTTCAGTCGACTGTTACTTCATCTGTCAAGCACACAGGGGAAGCATTCCAGAGTAGTGGGATGACACAAAACGGACCCTGTGTCTGTGTGCTTTTTGGTTTGTCTTTTTTTTTTTTCTCTTACTGATTTTCTTTCTTTCTTTTTAGTTTATTTGTCCATTCTGATTTTCATTTTTTGTTGTTTTTCTTTTTTGAGAGACAGTGTGTGTGTGTGTGAGAGAGAGCATGAGAAAGAGCGGTTGAGAGAGAGAGAGAGAGAGAGAGAGAGAGAGAGAGGGAGGGAGAGAGAGAGAGAGCGCGCATGTGAGCGTGAACTTGAATCTGGGTGGAGACTGAAATGGGAAGATCTAGGAAGAGATGGGACTAGAGTAGGAAGACTATCATCAAAATACATGAAAACATTTCAATAAAAGTTTAAAAATGTCTATTCAATTCCATAGCCACAGACTTTCAAGTATGACTCTTATAAACAGTTGTTCTAGCTTATTTAGTGATATTTAAGTCTGTTCATTTGCTTTCAGAAGTTCAAGTCTTGTCACAATAGCAAAGTAGTAGCATCTGTAATCACAAGTGGACCACTAAGAGTCAGGAGCAGTTAACTTTGGTAAAACCTAATGCTTAACTGATCCATTCTAGTTCATTCACAGCATCACTGCCAATACCAATCATAACTGTACTAAACACACATACATACAAACACATAGGAAACCAGTATGTTGACATTCTGAAGACACTTAAATCTCCAAGACTTCACTACAATCCTAGAGGAATATTACCTACAGAACCTTCACACTGCGACTGACACCTGCCTTGGCCCTCGTTCCTCACACACTGCTGCACCACCGCCCTCTTACCTTACAATGCAGTTACATTGAAAACCTACTAGCCAAGACCCCTCCTTTGCCCCTGTGTTCACGACCAGTATACTGCAGTCTGATTTCCTTTTTCCATTTAGAAAATCTTCCCTGATGACAATAGAAAAGCATTTTCTCTCCAGGTAAAGAGAAAATCTGTTTAAAATCTAAAATCACTGCCTTTTCAAGTTGTATTATAATTATGAATGCTGTTTCCCTATTAAGTATTTCTGGAAGTCACTGTATTACTCCTTAGAGCAAAAACACAGACTGAAAATTTCTTATCTAAAATACATGGAACCAGAAAGGGTTCAGTTTGTAAATTTTTCTTTCAGGTTCTAGAACATGTATATATAAAAGATGAAGTATCTTTAAATGACTCTAAAGCTAAACATGAACTAATGTGTACTTCACATGACCTTAAACATGGGGTCCAGTAGTAAGTGTATGTGTCTCTAGTACATCTAGGATTAACTGTCCGCTTGAGTCATCTTGGTACTGAAAACATCTGGCTTTTGTAGCATTTCACATTTCAGATTAAGGAAGCTCTATCTGTTCCTTTTCGATGTGAAAGCTAACTTTAGATAAACAACCAGTTTTGATGGATTAGCCCCCTATAGACCTCAGGAAGCTCCAGGTTCCTCAGCCCTGTTACAACCCTAGCATGAGACTAAGAAGGCTGAGGCCAGATGGGGGACGTGTCTATGAATGGAGAGCGTGAGAAGAACTCCCCCTTCAGTCTATGTTGGCTCTATGTCTCAGCTTTTGAAGCTTTGAAAAAAAAACAAAAGAGAAAAAAAGGAGGAGCCAGAATCATAGGAAGCAAAGGAGAGAAGAGCTAAAGGAACCACTCAGCTGGACTACACAGGGAAAGCCTAGCTCAAGAAGAAATAAAACCAGCAGACTCTCAGAAGCTGAAAAAATAGAAAACCAGAAGCCTAGAAGAAAAGGCCAAAGTTCTTCTCTAGGGGTCAACAACGACCAATAATATTTACTAGTATTGTTCAATTAAGAAACTAAGCAAATTGGTTTTGCTTCTACATAACTTAGATAAAGCATGCAGAAAGATGAAAGGCAGATTCCGTGCCCACCGCCTACTGGTTGAGAGAAAAAATGGATAGCCCTCATCTCTGAACTGTTTCTTATTAGTAACAGCAGGTTTCACAGTATCACCCATTATAGGACTGGCAAGATCCATCTAGTGTAGCAGACACATATGAAATATGCACTCGGGAGACTCAAGGGATGTTCTTCCCTTTGTCTGCTCTATCTCCCCTTGCCCAAATAGTGCTACATTTACAAGGGATGAAGAAAGATATCAGAGCCCAAAAGAAGGCATTGCCACTAGCCAAATCAATGCACTCTCATACAAGTCCAACTCATCAATACAGGACCCTGAGAGTTTGAAGCTATCAATGACTATTAAAGCAATGGATGACAGTTGAATAAGAGCATGGTATTCTGTACTGGAAAGCTAGCTCAGCCACTAGAGGACTTGCTGAGCAGTGAGTACCAGAGTTAAGCTCTCAGTACCCACATAAAGTGAAAGGTCGATTCCAGTCTACATCAAATGCCATCCCTTACATGCCTGCACTTCCAGCTCCAAGAAATCCAAAGCACTCTCCTGACTGTGCTTGTGCACAGACCCATGCCTCAGCACATGTGCACATACACAAGAGTGAAAAAACAAAAACCAGCACATTTGCACATCTCAGAAAAATCTCTACAAAGTACTCATTAGCTTCAACAGGACAAAGAAATGGGTTTACAGTGTCAGCCTGGCAGATACCACCTATATGCAAACATACATCACCAAGGGCATTGCAAATACAATGTTGCTTTAAAATCCTGTCAGAGCTGTGTCCTTTAACCCAAGTATGGCTGTGAACATGTGTTATATTATAGCAGTTAGAGGGTGGAGGTAAGAGAGTTCAAGGTTAGCCTATACACAGAATATGTGACTAGCATGAGCTACATGATACCCTCAGTCTCAATAAATCAAGAGAGCATCAGTGAAAAGGAAAAACTGTATGATCTGATCTGATGTTTATTATCAGGAAACACTTTATAAAATAATTGGCCTTTGTGAATGAAGTTCCCAGAAACAAGCCGTACCTGTGTTAAACAATTCTGTAAGACTGACAGGTATTACAAAGCTGGACAGGCTGAAATCCAAGATTGTCTTGACTAGCTACAGCTCCCTTACTAGCCACTGACTTCCCACCTCCGTATGTGACTTACCATCCTAGTGACAGTCAGGTAAATCCTTCTGGAATGTACAGAACTCAGCCTCTGCCAGTGTCACTAGAATGTCAATCAGATGACATTTGAGCCCACAGCCAAGGTTCCCTCTCACTGAGCTGTGCGTCCCCTCTACCTGACATCTCCACCAACAGATCTGAAAGGCACCTTGATTATGACTTCCTCATTCTGCTACGATCAAACTTCCTGAAGCCATTACCACACTGGAACACAGGATTTAGAGAAACCTGTGTTCCTAAGTCAGTCACTCACTTTCAGCTCTGAATAAATTCTCTTATTCCCTTTAAACTGAGAGCTTTGTTTCTGTTTGTTTTGCATCAACAGAACTACTGCAGACTTACGAACTAAGTTCAAAGAACTATTAGAGTATGGGTCCAGGGCCATGAAGACAACTATACAAAGTAAAACTGAGACAATTACTAAGAACTGAGCATGAGCTATAGACCCCAGTGTTATCACACCAATGTCCAACCTCATGTAACTGCATGACCTTCATGACTAGGCAACACACATGGCAAGCAGTATTTGGGAGTAAGGTTTATGCCTGAGATCTGACTTTCAGACAACGAAGGGAAAAATATATAAAGAATTATAAAGAAGGTGGTTTATTTGGATAAAACATGTATTGGAATACCTTTTAAACTTTAAAAATCTGAAATCAAGTTAAAATAAAAAAATTTAAAATATCTCTACCTGGCATCTTTTATCCCCCTCAAATCATGTATAAAAGATTTGAATATTTTTAACAATACAAACAGAGCAGCAGGTTTTGGTTAGAGAAATTGCAGCAAATCCTTCCATTAATAATAAATACAGTAGGAAGATACCTGTGGTCACATAAACTCACTGACAAAGCATCCTCATTTCCTCACCTCCTCTCAAGTGTCACTATCAGTGGAAGACCTGAACTGTTTAATTTTTAATAGCATTCTACCTATCAAAGCACAAAAATATAATTAAGCAGGTTGTCACTACACAACCATTTGTACTTCTTTAGTGAATGATATGAACTACTATTTCACAAGCCGGAAAACACTGATGTAGTACTTCTATGTTTGTGCTGACAGGGTCCAAGAGGACCCAGACCCTATAGAACAATCTTACTTCTCTATCACATTAAAAAAAAAAAATCCATATAGCTCATTTTGATTAGTCTGAAGGAACATGCAAAGCAGAAAACATTATTCCTAAGGGGTGCTACGGCAGCCAGCCAAGAGCTCCAGCCAGGGCTCCCTGCTTTGCACACAGCTTGGCAAGACAGGCATGTCTAAAAGAAGAAAACATTCAACCATCATCAAAGACATGATTAAGTCAAGTGAGGCAAGTTCTAGAACCCACATTGAGGTGTTCATCATGCGCAATCTTCAGACACTGTCTAAAGGCTGAGACTGTAAAATAAAGACAGTTTGAACAAGCGAAGATGGAAACTGTGTGAAGCTAAAGCAGACCTGCTTCCTCATCCTCATCCTCCTCTTCCTCATCATCGGAAGCTGATGACAAGGGAGTTGGTGTGGAGCTAGCTTGATTATTAACATAGTCACCATACTGCACGCCTGTAAAGTGGAAAGCACAAACATAAGAGTCAAACCAACAAGAAAGGCAAAGAAATAAATCTTGACATTACATTAAAAGTGAGAGAGATCTCTGACATTCCAAAGGACATCCCAGCATGCATATTAATATCAGCAGACTATTATCAAAACCGGAACCATTAGAAAAATCTATGCAAAGCAGTTTAGTAAAAGCAATTTTAACTTGAACTAACTGGTTTAAGCATGAAAACAGTACCATATGTTTCACTGACTGTAGAACCAACAGTGGTGTTCTCAGAAAATATTTCTGAGCTCTGTAAACATTTACCTCCTTCAGCCTGGAGACTGTCGTAGTTCAATTCCTTTGAGAACATGCTTTCCTGGAAGGCAGTGACCATTTCTAGTGAACTACATTTGTACAGCTGTATGCTAAACACATTCCTTTTGTATGCTAACACCCCCTTGATGGTAGCTCAGTCGCCATAACAGAAGAGAATGGCGGTTAACAAACTATATTGAGCTCAGTTCTCTGCTTACTGGGGACACCATAGCTTTAAGCATAACAATGACAGAAGTGCTTTTCATTTCCTGAGATGTCCACTGCCGAGTGTCACCCTATAGCTTACATATGGATGTGAAATAAGTCCACCAGAAGGTACACTGTGGGAAAGACACACCCGGTGCTGCTCCCTGTATGAGGCGTCCCTTATCATATAGTTACTACCTACCTAGTATTACCTAATCTGGGAAAACCAAAATGTAAAAAGGAACAACTAATGCAACTTAAAAATGACAACCAATCTAACTTAAAAATGACAACACTTCATAAACAGGAGTAAATATTTGCTTAGAAGAAAAATCTCATAACTCTATTTTGAAAAAGAAAAACTCCAGAAATAGGTGGGATTTCCAAGAACACTCAGTAAGGCTGGAAACACTCTGAAGTATCACCAATCACAGGCTCTGCCACCTCCTATGCTTCTACGACTATTTTTTGGGTGGTCTGTTTTGTTCACATGAATAAAGAGAACTCGTCTCTAGAATAAGATGCGGCTGCTAATAAGCACATTTGAGTTCAGAGGGAAGCCAAGGTTAATCTGCACATAATTACGATTGCTCTTTCCACTAATGTCAAGAGTCACGGGAAATCTGCTAGCTTTGCTGCTTTGAGATGTTGTTTTTCTTTTGTCTTTCCGTTGGTTTCACTCTGTAGTCCAGGCTGGTCTTGAACTCATGGAACTCATGTCTCAGCTACCTAAGTGATGAGATTACAGGTGTGCACTACCATACCTGGCTAGCTGAAACATTTACTATAGACAAAGTATTCTTGAATTCATCTAAGAAAGTAAAATTCAACATAAAATACATTCACAAATTACATGACAAATTGACGCCTTCCAAATTCAGCAGCATGGCCCACTAACCACCTACTTAAAATGAAAACGTAGCTAACAACAGACTAAATTAAAAATACAAAGAAGTTATGGTTAAACAGATCCAATATAAAAGGTTTTTCCACAGAAGAAGTCTTTACATTTAGTGACTTACTTATGTCACACTTCCTTGATGTGCTATTGTTAGTGCTATGCTTAATGGTACGTTAAGATGACATAGAAAAAAAAAGATATTCTGTTTGCTGTATTAAAGAGAGGCCAATAAACAGGTAAATAAGAGACTCCATTCTTCATGACTGGATTAAGACAGTTTGCTACTCAGGAACTAGAATACAAGGCAAGTTTTTGTATATATATAGAAAATTATATATATATATATATATACACACACACACACACACATTTTCTCCTCCAGATTTAGAGAAAAACAATTTATTTCAATTATTAGAAAAAACTATAATATTTAGTTGAGAGAAAGTAAGATAACAAAACAATAAGAATTCATTCAGTAATGATTTAATTCACTAAAACAAACCTTTAAAGTATAAGAATATTATTTACTGTAGACTTTAGAATACACTGTGGTTGTCCATTTACTATTATTAACTAAAAGTCACATACCTTTCTCCCACCATGACTTTAATATGTTCAGAAATTAGCTTACCTTTGCTTGTTCAAGTAAGCGCCATTAAAAGCTTGGAAATATTAATAGATGAGAACATGATATTTCAGAACCACAAAGGAATGAGAATAGATTTGGAATACCATTGCTCCATTTAAAAGTCTAGTCTCAGGTATTTGCAGTTTATTTAGAAGGCAACAAAGTGGGTGACTTGCCACAGTCACCAACTCCATAATACAGGGATCTCACAGTTCAAATCCCTGTTAAGTGCTAAAACTCATATGCAAGGCTAGGATAGGGGAAGACTGTCACATCGCCTCCTAGCGCTCATCCTAAAGGCCGTCATGGAAATTTACAGAAAACACCCCCTATACTCTAATCACGGACTTATGAGCTAGGAATTTAGTGAAACCAAGAGGCCAAGAACACTTGAGAGGACTTGACAGAAGGAAGAGCACTGCAGTTAACAGACTCTGGGCTTTAAGAGGACACTCCCCCAGCAGCAGCGATAACAGGAACGCTCAGGAAATAAACCAAATAAATAAGATTTGTCTGGGGTTTCTCCTGCTGAGCTCTCTCAGAAAAATCTCACTATTCTGATACTAGCTGGACCTTTGAGGGTATATTTCTGTGGGTTTCATCTTTCCTATTAAAGATGGAACATTGCTATAAGGAAGTTGAAAAAAAAACACCCTCATTTTGTTTCCCTTTTCCAAATTAATAAACCCACTTTCCTTGTCAATTTCTATTTTCTAATGTCTTTTTGGAATACAGGGAAATTAAAATTATGGACCCAGGAGTCAAATTTCACTGGTTTCTTGCAAAAAAAAAAAATAAAAATAAAAAAAAAGAAAGAAAGAAAAGAAAAAGAAAAGGTAAAGAAAACACATAACCCATCATCCCCCCAATCACTACTATGGTCTGGAGATGCAGCTGAGGCAGACACCTGTCCAAGCTGCACATGCCCTAGGTCTGATCCCCAGCAACGGCAGTGATACTGAAAAGCACATTCAGATGTATTTACTATTGAAGGTCTTCTGCAGAACACATCCTTGGAGATAGCTTAACAAAAGCTATCTATCTTCACTACCCCCCATCCCCGACAGATACACTGGCAAGAAACTGAACTGGTCTCAGTAGAACAACCCTATTGTGAAGGACCTTTTTTTTTTAATTTAAGAGTTTAGATTTTTGGAGCAACTTTTATCTTCCTAAGATGATCTTCAAGGCGACAAACATTAGAAGACTTTGCAAGGGCTCTTACAAAAGGCCAGCTTTGTAAGAAACACTCGCATGCACATTCTGTAGGCACTATCTTTCCACCCAAAGTAGTGCCTTGTTAACAGCTCTATCTCCACCTTAGAAAGGACACGGTAACCCTGGCTTCAAAAGTATACTCTGAAATGCCGCACTGAGGTCTAAAAATTTCTCTGTAGCTACAAAGAAAGGATCCTCTTCCTTAAATGACTAATGACAGCACCCAAACATAAGACTTTGTTTTCTGAGGATGCCTCAGGTATAGGTGAAGCACGTTACAACTTCTCTGGCATGGTCCTCTTCAGAAGCAGAGAGGGTGGGAGACAGGAGTAAGGACAGTGAATGTGCATGCGCATATCAGCCTGGAAACACTACTGTCACAACTACCAACCTTCAAAGTGTCCTGGGAGAGCAAAGCAAAAACAGTAAGAAATACTCAAGAGAGGAGCAGTGTGACAGTGCAGGGAAATACTGGGATTCTGCCAGAACTCAGGAGGCAGAGGCAGCTGGATACCAAGTGTGAGTTCAAGGCCACCTTAAACTCACAGTGAGTCACAGGTCAGTAGGAGCTACATAATGAGACACTGTCTCAAACAAGAAAAGAACAACTGGGACTCTGGGTTCAATTTTGGTTCAGCCATATACTGAAGCCATATATTGTTAGTGCTTATGAAGTTATTAACTGCTATGCCCAGTACGGCTGGGTCCTAGAACCCTGACTGGGGCGACGCAGGAATGAAGAAACTACAGACACTGAAGAAATGACAGACACACATACAGAAAAGCTGAGACCAGGTGGGCTTTGCTCTCTCTGACGGAGAGCACTTACTAAGCAACCCCGGAACTCAGCATGTTTATTATGTACAGCACAAGGAGGAGGGGTTAGTCTTGGGCGGTCTCTGTAAGGGAACAGTCTCAGCTGTAAACATCCAGGAAGAAGAAACTGTAGGTAGGAGGAGGAAGTTGTAGGTAGGAGGAAGAAGCTGCAGTTGGGAGGAGGAAGCTGCAGTTGATGCTTTCTGTACACACTGTCAACATTCGTGCTTGGACCAGGGGAAGGCTTTGGCCCTGAGCCTGACCCGGAAAAGGCTTTGCCATGTCCATGGATCTGAGGCACTGGGGTCCTTGACATGGCCATGCTCATGTCAAACAACACACAATTCACTTAGGCCTTCCTCTGCTCCCCACATCTCCCCCTTTCTTATTTCTGAGATGTTCACGAAGACTCTCCGTGCTTAGTCCAGAGGTGGTTCGCTGAAATGCTCAACACCAGACTGTAAGAAGGAGAAGAGGGAAGAACATAACAGCTGCTGCGCCCAACAAAGTGTAAGGAATGCTTTAACAGGGTCAACAGATTGAAGCCTGGCACTTGGCAAGGACTGTTTTGTGACAATAATAGGAGAAACAATCTTACATGAGCCTCCTCCATTCCGAGGGTGCTGACATAAACTGGGCCAAATATACACTATCATTAAGGGTCCAAACAGCCAGGGATGGGCCTCGGTTCATTCCCCAATCACATCTGCTCTTGCTATAAGGGGCTGCTCTCACGCATGCTAGTATTCATCTGTGTGACATTAAATTTTATAGAAACCTAAGGGCTGTAGCTCACCACCAACTGAAGAGAGCCCACCAGGACTCCAGGTAGCTACAGAAGTACTCTCCCAAACAGAGGATGCCATTAGCAGAAAGATGTGAGCAAGCCACTTAAATGAGAAAAACGATGGCCTGGGGCCGTAGGTCCAGTAGGCTTTCCCCTGACTGGACTTACCTGAATGGATATGATTACCAGACACATCAGAAATATAGCTGCAGGGTTATTTCCCAACCCCAGGCCTCGTGCTCCCTCCTCCGACATTTGCATCAGCCTTTTTATTTGACCCCACGTTGGTGGTGTCGCCCTCCTTGAAGTCTGTGCAGGAGGCCTCCTCCTTGGAGACCGCTCGATTGGCTTCAAGGGCCACACTTTCGGTTTCTCTGTGGGCTCCAGTCTCAGCCTCTTCACACCTGCAACCAGGAACTTCACTGCATCCAAAGCTCTTTAGGTGCCTTGAAGGTACCCAAAGTGGCTGTTCCACACCTTCAGGGAAGACACAAGAATACCCTCTTCCCCACATTAGCGCGGGGAACAGGCCAAACCACTTTCTTGTCACGATGTGTTTCTATAGCACCTCGGGTTTTATTTCCCTGTTCTCTGGTGACCAGTGACCTTCTGTTAATGTCATCTTTTGCACAATTAAAACTTAGTATAAATAAAGCCCTGTTTAGAGAACTGGTAGGAGCAGAGAATTTCCCCCTTTTGCTTTTCTAATTGTTGCTTGAGCCATCTGTGGGGTCTTTCTATGTTCCCCTGTCCCTGAGGAATGTCTATGCTATGAGCTATTTTGTGTGGAACACAAGTTTTGTTAATGCAGAAAAGCTATAAGCAGGAGCACTGTCCACCTTGAGATGCTGTAGATGGCCCATATCAGCAAATCCAGCAAGGCAATGAGCAACAGCATGCTGGCAGCCTCCCTGTGTGAACAGTGTATAAACAATAGGAGAACAGCTATCAACAGAAACATGCACAAACTGTACTCTCCCAAAGGAGATGACAGGAAGAAAGAACATCCACCTGCCAGACAGCACTAGGACATAACATTCTAGGGTCAATGCCATCATGCGTGACAGGCTGGAAAGGACCACAGTGGGCACATTGCTTTAGCTTAGCCTGTTCTCAGAAAACAGCAAGTGTCTTTTGTACAGGGGAGGAGTTTTGATGACACAAAGCATGACTACCATGGGTGTTTTGTTTTGTTATCAAGGCAGACTGCACAGCAAGAGGGAAGCAGAGCAAGGACCCTGAGAACAAGATGTCAGCCATGTATCACCATCAGCCAGTGGTCTGTGGAAGGCTACATGTGGCCAGATACGGCCAACACAGCAAGGATGCTGACTTGGAAACAAGAGTTTCAGGAGCCGATGGAAAAGATAGTATACCTTATGAGCTGGTGCCTGACCAGTGTAGGTCATCTCTAAGGCTTGCCTTACTCCTACTATATAGGAGTATAGGCTGTAAATACTGACAAAGGGGAAGGCAAAATAATCTAAAACTATGCAAACTGCAGAGTTCAACTCACTGAGTACACTGTGTATGGTACTTCAGAACCCGAGGAAGAGTGGTAGAGCGGTAGGGGCTATAACACTGTCAGGAGTGTGTGTAAATAGGTTAGTTAACGCAAAGGGTTAGACTGTATGACCTCAGGAAAAGTAACCCAGGAGTCAGGTACAGTATACTACCTTGGATGGTGGAAGAGGAGAATCAAGCTGGCCAGGATAATTAGCCAAAGAATGCTGCTAGACACTGGATTGCTGCCAGAGTCAATGCTATTGATCTCCTGAATGAGACATAATTTACTTCTGGCTCTGTATCTAGCATTCCTATAGTGTGTTCAAGTTCTTCTCAGATAAATTTTGCCACCAAATCAGAGGAAAGGTTCAAAACCCTAGATAAGGAACGCCCAAAATACAACGATTTCAAAATGCTCTGCAGTTGCCAGAGTGCCCCAGTAGGGGTCATGGGTGATTTTAGGATAGCTAGTGACAGACTTGGCTGGGACCTATGTATGTACTGGGACACAGCCACTTCCATTCAGCTAGCCTCAAAAGAGATCAGCATGGAGAAGAGTGATCCGTGCCCCCTTTAAGTTCTTGGGTAGTATAGCTTAAGTGCCCAAGCCAAGTCTGAGCCAATTATGTCTCCCAACTGCTCTCAAAACCAGTAAGAGTTTTGAAAGAAATCCTTGTGAATTTCTAGATTTTGAGAGCATACAGCACGCTCCCCTGTAATTTTACTTCAGTATTGGAGTGACGATACTTTCTGAATCTTTTCTGGGCCAGTCTGAAGACACCCAGATCCAGTGGCTGTTACTGAGGCCATCAAAGCTCACAGCCAGTTTGGTAAAATCAGGATGACTGATGAGAAGATCATCTACAGAGCGGGTGATGTACACCTTCACCGTTTTGTCAGGTATGAGCTTGCCAGCCTCAACAACAAACTCCTAACACACAGCAGAGCTGTTTTCATACCCTAGGCAAGTGCTGTGCAGACAGACCAAGATTAGGCAACAGAGGGGTCAAAGCAAACTTTTTGAGATAGCTAGAATGTAGCCAAATGGTTAAAAGCAACCCTTTAAGTCAACTATAATGAATGAAAATGTGACAGTCCAACAAGAGGTGCTGGGGACCACTGCCTGCATGACTCCATGTCCTTAAATCCTACAGCAGCCTCTAGTTACCTGGTTTCTCGTTTTAGATAGATAGGGGTGTTCTGAGGATTAATAAACTTGTCCCTGTGTCTGCCCTGTACCTGTGCTACAGTGGAGACAACTACAGTGGAGGCAGTGTTCCCCTATGACTGGCCACTGATCTACCCACACAGGCTTCTCTGATGGCCAAGTGATCTGGGAGGCAAATTTCCATTGGGCATGCATTAAAGCATTGACCAGAGCTGCTGGTGAAAAGCAGCAGTCATGTGATGCCCCACTCTGAGCCTTTAATAATCACCCTGAGTAAACACGGGAGTAACTACACCTTGAATTTTATCTAAACCTCACAAAGGATTAAGTCAGTGGTGCAGTATCTAATGATACAATGATCTGGGCTATATAAAAAGACTCCCATTTGGCTCAGATATCTCAGCCTTGTAAGAGCACAAGGATACTGGGTATAATTTGAGGCCTAAAAGCAACTTTATGACCTCTGGCACCCTGACAAGCAATTATAGCAAACTGTGCAATGACGACCCAAAGCATGAGCACCTTTCTTCATTTAGCATTGGGGAATTGGTTCAGCTATTTTAAACACAGGTGTAGTATCAAAAGAAGTTGGGGTAACTGAACCAGAACCTTCATTCCTCCCTGCACAATCTTCATCTGTTACTACCAGGTGCATGTGTAGTCCCTGTAGGCTCTGGCTGCTTCTGCCTAAAATAAGTCCTACTGTGCCTGCTGGCTTAAAACTGTCCCTCGTTAGAGGGTGGTCTAAGTCAGGTGGTGGAATTGAAGTTCAATCCCCCACTGCGTGAGGCTACCTTACAGAGCTGACCAATGGTGGCTGAGAGTTACTGTCTATCCTATCATTTATGGTTGGCCCTTAGGATGATGGCGCCTGTTGTCTGAAGGGACATCAGCCATTTCCCAGGCCCTATCCAGGTGGCTAATGAATACCCATTTGAGTAGTTGTTAGAGCCCAGTGGATTCCTCTCTAACATCTCAGATAAAAACTTAGGAAGCTGTGCAGATCATGGGACATAGTGGGTACAGGGGCATGCTTGTTTTTAAAAATTTGAAATCCTTATGCCAGCAATCACATGCAAAATGTCCTGTTTTTCCTCTACGTACAACAGGCACCATTTTCCCCTCAGGACATATAACTGACTTAAAGACTGATGAGAGAGGCATGTCTAGAAGGTGGCTAGGACATCCGTCCACATAAAACCTAGTCATCCTTTGTCAATGTAACTGCTTTTGAAAATGCCTACATGTCTCCTTACAAGTCTTGTCAGCATTTTCAAAACCCAAGTGATATGTAAGTACCTTTCCTGCCTCAGTCAGCTACAAGGTGGCATTGCAGCTTCAAAGAAACAGGCCACACAGTCTGGGTACAATCTGGTCCTGTCCTATCTGTTCTCCACAAGGTTTTTTTCCCATTGGAGGGCAATTTTCTCTGTGGCCTTAAAGCAGCTATGTTAACTTGTTGGTAACAAGTTTACAAAGGATAGTGTAATTGGTTGTTGGTTCCTTCCTGAGTCCTGTACACAGAAATATGCAAGCCTACAGCTAGAACAATTCCATGAGCCAGATTATGCTATGCTTGGTCCTCACACAATTCTGTAAACCCAGTCTTAAATAGCAGCTAATCCCTTGGGTGCAGGCAAGATTTTTCCATGTTTAGCCAATCAGAAGGAGGCTGAGCAACGCCAATGAGGATATGCTGAGTAACTCCTTGCTACAGAGGGGTACGGCCCTTATGCTGTCTAGGCTTGCTTGATCTCCTCTCAGGATTTAAAAGGTAGTCTCATGACAGCGTATCATTTGAATTTTGTCGATCAGTTTTACTCCAACAGGAGAAAGCAACTGAGTGTTTTCCCCAAATCTATCAGCCTAACAAGGTTTGCTATATAGGGGTGAGATTATGTCCATTAAAGCTCACTGTTGACCAGATGCAAAGCTCGGTCACCTGGGATTGGGGATCCTCAACCCCAATTACCATAATCACTTTCCTTAGTATTAGGGTCCAGGCATCAGGCAAGTCAGAGCAAGGCTGCCCTGTGAATTCAGTTTACCTCACTGCCATTGCAGATCCACTCTACACAGCCTGCCCTCCTTTGAGGAAAGAACCATGGATCTATGGACTCACATACAATAAGACTCCAAAGCCTGTGAGTGTAAGTGCGAATATGCTTGGGTGCTCAGCCCTTCATCCCTTAGCTATTCCCTATCTTTTCCCAAGTAACCAAATGCCTTGTCCTTCTTTAGGAAGCCAGGGGTACGTCTTCTGAACAAGTCTAAGAACTACTGGAGTGGGAATGCTTTCACTCTGCTTCACAGCTCCCTCAAACATCCTTCGGAGTATTAACATATGACCGTTCATCTCTAGACTCTGCCTGCCGATGGATGTGTTAGACCTAACGCTCACAATTACACCCCGCCCCCTTTACCTTTATTTTTATCTTTCTCTTTACCTTTATTTGCGAACTTCTCTGGGGGGCGTTCCCTCATCCGACCGATGCAAGTTCCCCACAGTCCAGGGTCTCTGTTCACAGGGCGCCACTTGCCACATCCAGCATGGCTAGGTACTGGAAACCTGACTGGGGTGACGCGGGAATGAAGAAACTACAGACACTGAAGAAATGACAGACACACATACAGAAAAGCTGAGACCGAGTGGGCTTTGCTCTCTCTGAGGGAGAGCACTTACTAAGCAACCCTGGAACTCAGCACTGTTTTCTAGGTGCAGCATAAAGGAGGAGGGGTTAGCTAGTCTTGGTGGGAGGTCCCTGTAAGGGAGCAGTCTCAGGCTGTGACCATCTAGGAGAGCAAGCTGTGGTTGGGAGGAAGAAGCTACTATCTATGCTGTCTGCACAGTGTCAACATTAATGCTCAACCCAAGGGAAGGCTTTGCCACTTCCCTGAGCCTAAGCTGGGGAAGGCTTTGCCACTTCCCTGAGCCTAAGCTGGGGAAGGCTTTGCCACTTCCCATTAGCCTACATGGCATTAGGGCCTTGGCATGGACACGCTCGTATTAAATAATACACATTCACTTAGGACTTTATCTGTTCCTCACAACTAACTTTCCCATTTTTCACTTAACTAATCTGTAAGGCAGAATAGTTACTACCTCAAATGCTTGTTGTAAGGCTTAAGTCTAACACTTAGACATGTGGTACCTGACATGAACAAATATCGTACGTGTTAGTTACTGTCTCAGGAATCCAGGTTAGTGTCAAACCTTAAGTGCAGCTGAGGCTGGCTTGGCTTTCTGTCGCCAGTCCCTGGTTTCTTCCCACTCTCTATGTAATTCACACGCTCTTCCTCTGAGGCACAGGGATTCAGTGAATGTGCCTTCGTATCTGCTTCTGTAAACTGACTCTTAAAAACGTAAAAATAAAAGAGGGAATGTTTTCTAGAACTCCCAGGTATTTTTCCAGATCCACTGGATAAAATTCTATGTGGAGGATAGGAAGATGGCTCGGTGTTTGATAAAGCACTTGTGCAAGCATGGGGTCCAAAGTCTGTATCCTCAGAGCCCACGTAAAAGTCAGGCAGGTGGAACAGCCGCCTCTAATCCCAGCATTCAGGGAGACAGACAGGGGATCCCTAGGGTGAGCTAGTTAGCTAAACCACAAGAAACTGTAGAGTTCCACGTTCAGCTAAAAACCCTGCCTCAAACTAAAGTGGAAATCGACTAAGAGACACCCGATGTCAACTTCTATCAGGTTTACACACTCACATGCACACATGTGCACCCTCACTCAAGGAAACATGCATACATATTGCACACCACACACATATACAAAAATAAAATCTACAAGTGCCACGATACCTAGCTTCTATAAGAAAATCTGAAAGTCCCTGTACATTCAAGGCCCCTATATAAAATGGTATGGTATGTATAATCTATGCATATTCTCCTATATATTTTAAATTCTCTCTAGATTATATATAATACCTAATACGTTTATACTACATAAATACTTGTTCTGCTGTAGCACTCAGGGAACAATAACAATGTCTGTGTATGTTCTGTAAAGACACTTCCTAGGAATTCTCAATCCCTGGTTTATTAGGTCTTCAGCCACAGAACTTAGGATCTGGACAGCAGTAGTGGTCAGGTGAGCCCAGCACACTGTATAAAGATGGAGCCCTGCACAGCTTCCAAGAGCTCCATTTTATGCAGACTACAACTTGTACAGCCACAGTTCTCTTGATTCACATAGACAGTTAGATTCTACACCCTAGATCTACTCAAAGGCAAACACAATGTGCTACTTAGAAAACAAATGAATAATTAAGGGTTACAAATTTACACATCTCCAATATAACATTTTTCTGCTATTTATGCAAATAGCTGATATTCGGTAAATCAAAAGGCTATCAACAGCCAACAATAAAAGTTAATATTTTATAGAAAGAATATATAGCAGGTTTGAATCGGTAACCTTTTGCTTTACTACTTACTAACCTATAATCGTGGCCAAGTTACTTCAACTCTATGAATCTTATTTCTTTAATCTGCCAACAGAAATTTGTGCCACATGATTAATATGAAGATTAATGAAACAAAAATATAGTTATTCTGAATATAATAAGCATTAAATAAATGAGAGGAGTTTCTTCTCTGTCTTTTTGTGCTAGGAGGCAATACTGTACCTGTTTAGGGGCAGAGTGCAGTGTAAAGTGATAACTGAAGACACCATCAGTGTAAGACACAGAAAGGTATGGGGGGGTGGTAGGGGGGTATACTTAAGTTCATGATAAGCAAAGTCTTCCGACCACTGTTCCCTCTGAAAGCAAACACTTAGACGAACTAGATTATTCTATCCCTAGTCTCACTGACTTTTGGAAACTGGTGAATAGTTTTATCATTGATTCCTTTCAAATCAAGTAAGAAAATTTACAATACATCATCTGACCAACTGACAGAAAGGACTCTGTTGGTCACATAAACACTCAACAAACACAGCATTCTAAGGGTTTACAGGGCCTTTTCTGAGATTTAGAACATAATAGAAGAGTTTTTCACAGTCAAGGCTAGAGGGTGTCGCACACAGTAAGGTCCTTAAAACAGTTCAAGTGAATTGGAAATACAAAGTCGATCAAATGAAAACAGATTAGCCAGAAACATCAAAATTTTGGAATTTTTGCCATATAGAAAGTAACCAAAAAAACTTCTGAAAGAAAGGATAGTGGAGAAACAGGATCAAACCAGTCTATGTCAGATCTGTCACTTACTTATTCAAGAACATTAAATTGACCGCATGGTCTGTCAATGACGCATACAGAAGTTACATCCACGGCACCTCTCACCCCCGCTCCCTAAACTGTGGATGATCAACAAACGACAAGCACAGAAACCTTAACAAGACAAAAGATTCACTAAGTAGGACAATGATGGTTGATTTAGCCTAAAAAAAAAGTCCAGAATGGTGTAAGAAAGGAAATTTAACATCCCAGATATTATCAAATCAACAATAAAAATTATAAATTAACATGCAAGACTAAACTGTCCTATTTGAGTTTGAATTATACATTACTTTTTTCATGTTTTCAGTTAGTTATGGTTATACAGTGTGGCATTTTTGAATCAGTTACTGAGACATGAGTGTGCATATGTATAAAATGAGCAGCTCCGCACATACCTTTGGTCTGCATCTGTTCTGGGGGTGGTGGGGCGGAGGGCACAGGCCCAACTGGGTGACTTGGAGCAGGTGGCATTCTTGTTGACGAGGGTCCTGGCAAGACTGTGGACACTACGGAGCTGGACTTGGGAAGTTGGACATTTTCTGTAATAGGACAAGACAGAGAATCTGCAACTGAAGACAAGAAATCATTCACCCACAGCAACAAACTTGAAACGTGTTAAAACAAGCTTACTAACAAAACACAATGGCTCTTAAGTCCACAGGAGCTCCAGTACCATCACACCGATTTGGTATCTAGAAGAAGGTGATCCAAACGAACATGTCTCCCAAAGTGGGAAAACAAGTCACTAATGTTTTAATAACTTGTAATAACAACTTTTACTAAAACATTTCAAAAAAGTCATTACCTTTCAGACAAAATGAAATGCTGTTTCTCTTTACAGACTAACAACCATGGCTATTACTTATTGTACTACACAATGGTGACCAAGGAAAAGTGAATAAAGGTAATGGGGTCTCTGAATTTTATAAATTAGCTCACACTTCATCTTGCTTTATTTATGTATTTATAAAAACAACAAAGTTCCTTTCTCACAGCGCTGGGAAATGGAGAACAAGTCGTCTTGGTGTGTTTCCTGAAGCTGTAGATGACCATCTTCCTCTTCATTTCCTATGGTCTCTGTGTACAGCTGGGTTCTAGTCTTCTTGTAAAAACGCCATTCACATTGGGTCTGGGCCCGCTATAATGATTTCACTTGAATATAATTGTCTCTTTAAAGATCCTATTTCCAAATAGCTATCCTCTGTAATAAGATTCTGCCTTGGGACCTTATTAGTGCCCTTGCCTGTGAACGTTTGGAGGGGATACAATTACCCCCTAACAGATTCATTGGATGTTAACTAACAGTGTAAAAATGGGGAGGGGTATTAAAGTCTCCAACTCACTACTTTTCTATATTCTAATATAAGTTACAATGCATAGCCCTCCTATACTTTGGTTACCCACCCACTTTATCCTGTATCTCAAGAAATAACTAAATTACCAAAGACTGCTGGTAGTTTTTGTAATGATAAACAGATGTAACAGATCACATAATGCATGCTGGTCATTCCTAATCTTAGCTGAAGAATCACTGGTTATCCAGTGCAATGACACTGTCTGTTGATCTTAAAGAGCATATTACTGAACGTCTTTTTTATTTAAAGTAGGCATTTAGGAAAAGGGGTGAGACTTTTATAAGAGATGGTAGCCGGCAGACCTTGGGTGACCAAGTGATGTATCAGAATTAAAAAAAAGATACAGGAAAGGTCTGAAAAATTGTGAAAGAATAAATGGGGCAGCTGTAACATACAGAGAAAAGAAACACAAACCCAGGCAACTGATGGCTCCACCCAGGTGAGACAAGGGGGAGGAGAAACAGAGGTCTCATCCAAAAATTAAACCAGGTGGCCTTACCCTCAGGACAAGCCCAAAGGTTTCACGAATCTCAACAATCAGTTACAGGTATTCACTGGACAGTGACTTTTCCTAGGAGATGCTTACTAGTGGTAACAAGTTGTCCCAGCTCAGAATGCTGTGCCCAGGGGCCACCATCAAAGGGAACCTCTCATCTTGTACTGTTATAGTCACTTCCTGTCTACTGCTTCTAACCAGATGCCTCATTTCAAATGTAATAAAGCAAGGGCCTCTGTCCTATTGTGCCCTGACTCTCTGCTGGGGTGGCCAAGTGCTGCTGGCATGCTGCAAAACGGGTGGTCAAGTCCCGTGCTTTCCTTCACGACACCAGAAAAAAAAAAAAAACAGCAGAGTCTGGGACAAATGCTGTGATCCCCAGTCTCCAGTGTACCCAGGCTCTGCCAGCATAGCACTGGGAGTTAGAAACAGGGTCCCCAGTACTGGCAGAACCTGGTCTGATTCAGAGTTCCAAGTACCAAGGGGCTAGAAGAGAGAAGGCCTTCCTCAGGAGTTTAGGCACAGCTCTTTAAGACGAAGGCCTTCCCTACAGCAATCCTTAATGAAGAGTTGATGATCCTTGCTTGTTCATACTGGTTTATTTAATGGTTTATTTAATGTGAATGCATACCCTTTATTCGAGGTGAACCAGGGATTAAATACCTTTTTGGGGAAGAAATGCCCAGGAAGGGAAGCTCATTAGGCCTATCTAGATATCTCATTAGCATGGAGAACCCCAGGTGTTTACGTTACATGAACAGTGCACATGGTCCTCAGTGGGGTACCACCATGGGTTACATGTTCCACAGCAGGGAGAGGCAGGTAGGAAATGGCTCCATTCATGCCATTCTCAATTCTGAGATTCCCAGAGTTTGAGTTCATTCAATCTTACCATTCTTATGCCTGTCTGGTAACAAGGTCCCACACGCCCTACAGGTATCACTATAATAGGTTAGAATTCTAGAATGCAGTATCTATGATTCATAGTAGTGAAAATCACTGAAGGTGATCTTAAGGACCTTACAATAGTTGATAGAAAATTTTAAATTAGAATCAAAAGTAGAATATGCCTCCTCCTACAAAACAGCAAAGGCTGCATAGGCTAGAAAAGCAATCAAGTGAGTTCCATGTGTTACAAGCATGTAGGTTACACTAGGAAGAAAATTGGGCTTGGAACAAATTAATAACCAAGGAAAACATTCATTCTGGGTTAGGTCCACAGGTGTGCACCATGATAAGTAAGGTCATAAAAAGGAGTGGGTAGTTCCATTGTGTGTGTAAGAACAGAAAATGGATGACTAGCTAGTTTAACTATTTTTAACTATTTTTAACTAGTTTAAACTATTTTTTATTCAAAAATAAAGTGTAAGATAGGTGACCTGTTTCTTGGTAAAAACTTTGTTAATCTATGACATAAAAAATTATTGCTCTGGATTTATAATACACATATGGAAAAATACATAAAGCAACTGCTTTGAACTTATAAAGAACTCGTGAAATAATAGATAAAACTACTGCTTTGAACTTATAATGAACTTGTGGAATGAAAGACAAGATAAAAATGTTTAGTTAGGTACAAATTTTAATAGAAAACATGCAATCAGTAGTCCTTCTGTAACTCCCTCTTATGTAACAATTTTATCTGTTTTTGAATGAGGTAGTTCTTTTTCTTACATAGAGAGCTTTGCCCTAGGGGGTATAAAAGGGCAAAGAGAAAAAATAAAGGGCTGAAGCCTGCTTTGCTTTATCCAGTGTGTGTGTGTGTGTGTGTGTGTGTGTGTGTGTGTGTGTGTGTGTGTGAGAGAGAGAGAGAGAGAGAGAGAGAGAGACTGACTTTTCTCCTTTCTTTTCTCTAACTGCCAGCCACCATCATTGGCAACCCAGCTGTCTACCATCCATCACTGGTGGCAATATACTAGTCACCATCACATTGGTTTCTATCTCCTCCTTTTTTCCTTCTAAATCACCTGCAGCTATCTACAGAGACCAACGCTGGGCTGGGTGCCATTAGTGCCCAGCCCATTGCCAACTCTGAAGCCACTTGCCTCAGTTTACCCTGTGGTGTTGCAGCTAGTCTTAGACACTTCACTGAACTTGCAGTACTGTCAGAGTCTCTCATTTTTACTGATCTAGTAGGTATTCTGGATTTCCTCTGATTAATTTATATCATCTGTGACTATTACAGTCTTCCCTTAGTTATGATCTTCTTCACATCAATTTGTATTATTGGTATAGCCTAGAAAAATATTGATTTCCCTCCTACTTTCTAGTTTGTTTCATTTTATACTGCCTGTTAAAGATAAAAATGTCTTTTTCATTAGACATTAGTTGAGTTTCTCATGCTTGAACTCTATGGCTAGCTCTAGCACTATGTGTGCTTTCTTTATAAAATTTGATCACTCCAAAGTTCTGGAGATAGTCTGTTTCCTCTGAAGAATTTAAAAAGTTTTGCCTTTTTAAAAATATTTATTTTAAATTTTAAAAATTTAAATATTTATTTTGGCCACAATTTACTTCTTACATAAGAAATCCATCCTTCAGATTGCAGCTAAAATATCACTTCATAATAGGAAACTCCCCTGAAGTCCACAATAGGCCAATGTGCTCACCATGAGTTCTCCAAGGCCTACACCTCTGCTTCTTGTCACAGACATAGCAGGTCTGCACTTGTTGCTGTTCAGTGGATGTCTGCTGCCACAAGCAGACTACAGCTTGAAATAATCTACCTTTTTACTCACAATTATCTCCTAACACTAGAATCATCCCTGGCATGACTGGCTTTCCAACAACTAATGGTTAGTGGGTAGATCTACCAACACTACAGATCAGAGGGGCATGCCAACAGAGAGTTTGCCCTTTTCACAAAGGGAATGTGACTGAAGCAAGAACATAGAAACTGCCACAATGTAAAGCAAATGCCTAACGTGTTTAGTTTATAGCCTTAAAAGAATACTATATGTGGCTGCATAGACCTTTAATCTCAGCACTCAGGGGCTACACAGTGAAAATGTGTCTTCTATAAAAATAAGTCCACTGCAGCTAAAGGGATAGCTCAGCAGTGAAGAGCATGTGCTACTCTTATAGAGGATTTAGGTTCCGTTTCCAGCATCCACAGTGTCTCACGCTTGTCTGTAACTCAAGTTCCAGGGTACTCAATACTTTCTGCTAACTTCCATAGGCAACAGGCATGCCCAAACAGACACGCATGAAAACACTCATGTGCAGAAAAAAAATAATCCTTTCTGGGTGTGGCAGCACACATCTTTAACTCTAGTACTTGGTAGAGGCAAGTTGATCTCTATGTGATGCCAAACTAGTACAGAGCAAGTTCCAGTACGTCAGTCAGACTCTATCTCTGTCTGTCTCTGTTTTTCTCTTTGAGTCTTCTTTTCCCCCTTCAAACTATACCAACCAATCTCTAAGGCAAGTGCTGTCTTCTGCCATCACCCTTCTCTGAAGTAACTGTGGTTATTAACTTTAAACTTTAAAAAAAAAAGGCTTCTGTTTTCCTATGTTGACCATCATTTCTACTAGAGTATTTGACAGGACTAGAGACTCATCATCTACAGAGACAGTTTTTAAATGGGATAAACTAACGAAAACTTCAGTCTGTTAACAACTAACCACGGCACTGCAAACACACCGGACTCCTTAATGAAATCACCTAAAATCCTAAAGCTAACCCTTGTCTGCAGTGCCCCAGCATGCATCTCTACAAAGACCAATGATGTGGCAATGAAGGTCTTTTCTCCATGTTACGACAGTATTTGCTTAATACAAGTGTACAGTTCAGTACTAATATAAAATTCTAATTAAAATGTGAAACACTCTAACCGTCTAGGCCTACGTGTCCATACTGTCCTTGACACTGACTGCAGGGAGCGTTACAATGTAAATGCAGCACCCAGAACTACTACAGCTTCATCAGCTGCCGTTCTGGGTGTACATTTTCTTTTCCTTTTGTTTTTTGTTTTTGTCTTTGGAGACAGGGCTTCTCTACGTAGCCCTGGATGTCCTGGAACTTGCTCTACAGACCAGGCTGGTCTCAAACTCGGAGATCAGCCTGCCTCTGCCTCCCTAATGCTGGGATTAAAGGTATGCATCACCACCACCCAGTGCTATGCAAACATTTTCATTCCCTTCAAGAGCACATAATTAGATTCAAGTTCACAACTTCAAACTAGGTAAGAATATTCTATGGAAACAGAACACACACACACACACATCTTGGTGTACACCTTTAATCATAGCACTTTGTTAACAGAGGCAGACTGATGGAGTTTGGGGTCAGTTTGGAATATAGAGGCCAGCCAGAGATATATAGTGACATCTCCTGGCTTGGCGGACACACACACACTTTTATATTTTACCATATGTACTATCTATGCCTTATAAAAGTAAAAATACACCGGGCAGTGGTGGTGCACGCCTTTAATCCCAGCACTTGGGAGGCAGAGGCAGGCGGATCTCTGAGTTCAAGAGTTCGAGGCTAGCCTGGTCTACAGAGTGAGTTCCAGGACAGCCAGGGCTATACAGAGAAACCCTGTCTTGAAAAAAACAAAAAACAAACAAACAAAAAAAAGTAAAAATACAAATGTTTAAATAGAGACTTAACTACCAAGAAGTCACGTGGCCTTATTCCCCTTCTTCATCCTTCATCTTAGTGCACTCATTTAATAAGAATGCAGCTTTTATCTGCAGAAAACAGTTTTTATCTGTAGAAAACACAGTTTAAGGAAGGTGAGATAATGATTCTGACCATTTTTTTCTATAATAGTGGAGTTAGTATGAAAAGGAGTAATGGCCAGCAAGACACATCATCAAAATAGAATCTTCAATGTGTCCAAGTCATGTTACGGACAAGTGCGGCAGAGACAAAGACATCAACAGACACTGTCTGAGACCGCTTTCAAGGCATGGAAGCAGGCTCTTCACAAAGACCACTGAGGAGCTAACTATGAATGAGGGCACAACAAGGGTTTGGGGAGATTCAATAACATACCACAGAAACAGAAGCAGATACAGTGCAACAGTGAGCAGGTCTCCAGGATTCCCATCAGGAATACCACTGCTAACAAGACTTTACTGTTCCGATTGTCAGTCATGGTTTGGTGAATTTCACACTGACTTACCGTTACTTGTGGGGTGGCTGTTGGCTGTAGCCAAGGATCCCATCTGGTTTCGAATGAGGCTGTCTTGGGCTGGTGGAAGGCCTGGACCTGACCATGACAGAGAACTGTATCCTGAATGACTCTGCTGCTGGTGCTGCTGGTGCTGCTGGGAAGGTGGAGGTGGAGGTCTCGATGGGTAGGTAACAGCTGTGCTTGGGCCAGAGTATGACTCTTTAAGTGGCCTGGCAGGCGGAGGAGCATTCTGTGAGGTAAACATCTGCCCATATGGCTCACTGGCAGGCAGCGAGGGATACGAGACATTAGGATACACGACATTCGACACAGTTGAGATGGGATAATGACTACAGGTGGAGGGGTATCCCTGAGAAGCGACAGAAGCGTTGGCAGAGTATGGGGTAGGACTGCTGTAGCGATTCCCAAGAGAGGAATAGGGCTGGGAGACACTTGCGGACGAGTGGGATGCTGATGCTGGAGCTCCTTGGAAAGATCCTGGCGTGGGTCCCCCCATGTGAGGGACAGAAGGACCTCTGCCATACATCTGCTGTGCTCCTGGTTGGTTTACTGAGCTGGGAGTCCCCATATTTTGTGTTGGTACTGTATATGGACGAGAGTAGTAATTATCGCACTGGTTATCCAATGGCAAGGAGGCCATTTTCCCAGGTCCTTGAGAGTAATGTCCTGAGGGGGCCATATAGTTTTGATGAGGCAACCCATACCCAGATGGAACTTGCATTTGACTCTGTGCTGGACCTGAAAAAAAAATATTTACAGTGTTGCACAAAGAGATAATACATAAATAGCCCCCATCTAAGTGCTGGCTCAATCCATCTTTTTCTCCATAACTCTACCATATTGTCAAAGATACATATTATCATAGGCCCATCATGTAGTTAGACTCCAAAATGAGGCCCCACCTTCTGCTTCTCAAACCCTTGAGTAGTCCCCCTCCCCTTGGATCAGGACTCATCTCCATGAGCAATAGCAGAGGTGCTGATAAACTACTTCCTGGATTAGCCCAATCTTAACTCTAATGCTCCCTCACTCTGATACCTCAGTCCTGAATGACCTTATAACACAGACAAGGAAGACACGTGGACATGGAAGACATAAGGAATGGACAGCCAAAGAGAAACCATGGCCAGTAAACACATGAATATGCTAGCATCCTTCAAATTCAACGGAATCTTGAGATAATGACAGCCCAGCTGATAGCCTGACTACAATCTATGAAACCATACACCTGTTTGGCTCCCAAGTCAGTATTCCTTAAGCAACTATGACATAGAGGCAGAAAAGAAGACTCAGCAGTTATAAGCACTGGCTACTCTTACAAGAGGACTTAGGTTTGATTCCCAGAACCCACATGTCAGTTCACAGCTGTCTGTAACTCTAGTCTCGGGGACAGGATATCCTCTTCTGGCCTATAACCCCATACCTGAAGGCCATGGATGGGTCCTTTGAGTTCCAGGCCAGCCAAGAATACATACCAAGACTTTGACTTAAAAGAAAGAGGGGAGGGGCAAGGAGGATAGGAGAAAGGAAGATTGTCAGAGGCTGGGTTAACCAAAACTAAGGATGTATGAAAAAAAATCATATAGAAACCCATTACTTTATAAGGCAATTTTAAAAATACAAGAAGAAATTTAATTGGACACTGCTGCTTCCAGAAACCATGATTTATTAAACAAAAATTTGGTGCCAGACATGAGATATTTCCCTACATGTTACTCATCAAGGAGGCTCCAGAGACCCCCAGAACAACACAGGTTATTCCCAATGTTCTTGGTTGTCTACTACAACTACATAGGCTCTAATGAAGACTCAGCACACTTTGGTTGCAGGACATAGAAAAGCCAAACTAGAATTAACCAGCAAACGTGCAGCTGGCTAGCTTTCACACTGCCAAAGGCCCTACGCTGACTGCTGGAGGAAAAGGCATCAGTGGTCTTACCGAGTGTGAGAGACTCTGCATGCTACAGTACAGGCCTTCTAGGCAAGAAGTACCCACAGGAAATACTGGCAGGAGGCTTTTGGGGGTAAGCAAACACTTTCCGATTTGATTTGATCTTGCTCTGTCTGAGGCAACTGTAAACTTGGTCAAAGCCCAAGGTTGGGCAGGTTACAGGCCTTAGGAGAAAGTCCATTTTATCAGTGTGGTTTCTTTTTTGTTGGTTCTTTTCTTTGTTTTGTTTTGCTTTGTTTCCTTTTTGAGACAATGTCGCACTATGCAGCCATGGCTGGTCTGATTAGACAAGAGATCCAGCTGACCCTGAGATTAAAAGCATGCACCACCATACCAGGCTTGTTTTTGCTTTGTGGCAGGGTCTCACTATATAGTCTTAGCTGGCCTGGTAGAGAACTTACATAGAGCAGGCTAGTCTGGTTTGGCACTCACTGACTTGCCTCTGAGATTAAGCATCTGCTACCATGTCCTTTGTTCTGCAAGAGTTTGTAGCTCTCTAAGACTTTCTCACCACTGTAGCTGCTGGCTGACCCTCCTGCTCCCATCTTGGTCAGGAGTAGCAAAGAGCAAGAATGGCCTGTTGCTAGAACACTTAACTTTATGTGTCCACTACTCTGCTGACATTTGTTTTGCTAGATGGCCATGTTGTCAGTACCTACATATGTATGTTTGTTCTCAGATCAGAGCTACTGTCGGCCTTGATCTAAGACACTTCTCGTAGCCATGGCAACATTAACAGAGGCTCCTATCTAGTCAAAGTACTAAGAATGAGTGACTGTTGAGCGATCAGCTCTCAGTAGCACATCTACCTTACCCAACCCTTCCCAAGGTTCAGAGAACATCCTGGAAGAGGAAGGGTAGAAAGAATTACAAGAGCAAGCTAGAGAGATGGCTCAGAGGTTAAGAACACTGGCTGTCCTCAGAAGGCCCCAGGTTCAGCTGTTCTTCATGGGGACTCAGGCTCAACTCCCAGTACCCACAGGGTACCCCACTAAAGCCCCGCCTCCCTCCTTGGCCTTAGTGGACACCAGACATGAAAGTGGTGCACAGACATACACGCAGGCAAGGCGCCCATGCACACTCAGGCAGCATTCATGGGAATCAACGAATAACAGCAGTGGCTATGAAGGGACACTGGGTACCAGGAGGTGAGAAAGGAGATCGGTGGGGTAGCTATCAACAATGCACATACATACATTTATGCAAGTGTCAAAGAATACATTTTTTTGAAAGTTTAAAAACATCAAGAGAGGAATCCACACCTTTTGGTATTAGCCTCCTCTCTGCCCTAACCATGAGAGTTACAGAATCAAGGTCCACTCAAGTAGAGCACGCTTAGGGGCCTTGGGCTCAGTCTCCAGCACTGCGGTGGAGGGCAGTGTTGACCATCTATATAAAGAATGTAAGTGTAAAGTGAAAGTCCCCTTCTTATTCTGGTCACTGATATTCCATCTACTGCGCAGGCACAGCTGGAACCAGTGGTTTTTCTGTGTATTTGGATGAGCGAATCCTAGCATGGTTCTACAACTATGTTTTAATTTAATGTATCTTAGACACTATTCTGTTATCATGTGTAAATCCTCATTAAAATATATATACACACACACACACAGAGAAAGAGAGAGAGAGAGAGAGAGAGAGAGAGAGAGAGAGAGAGACAGAGAGACAGAGAGACAGAGAGACAGAGGTGGGGGGAGGGAGGTTTGAGAGACGGCTCAGCACTTAAGAGCACTGACTGGTCTTCCAGAGGTCCCGAGTTCAATTCCCAGCAACCACATGGTGGCTCACAACCATCTGTAATGGGATCTGATGCCCTTTTCTGCAACAGTGTATTCACAAACATAAAATAAATAAATCTTTAAAAAATATACACAAATATTTCATTTTAGGTGACATTTACTAAATTCTCATCAACAAACATCATTCCAGAGGATGAACTTCTATGATCAGTTAAAAGATGGGTTTCTTACAAATGAAAATGGGGTTTTGTGCTTTAAAAATTGGTCACTATGCTGAGCACTGGGAATGTGCCTAAAATCCTGGCACTAAGGGCCTGAGACAGGAGAATTATGAGTTCAAGGCCAGCCTAGACTACATAGCAAAAGGCTATCTCAAAAAACAAACAAATAAACAAACAAAAAATAAAGAAACAAGCAAAACAAAGAGGTTATAGCTCTCTCCAAGAAGGACTAGCAATTCATACACTCCATCAATAATAATGCCTCATATCCCCAACACTAACATTTTATGCTTTACCAGCATGTGAAGTATTCTACAAGCATTTTAATTTAAAAAAATCTATTTTTTTCATGTGTATGAGTGTTCTGCCTGCATGTATGTACATGCATCATGTGTGTGCCTGGTGTCCTCTGAGGTCAAAAGACACTGACTCTCCTGGAATTGAAGGTATGGATGGCTGTGAGACACCATAGGGGCACTGGGAATTGAACCCTGGTCCTCTGTAAAAAAATGTTAACACTGAGCCATCTTTCCAGCCCGTTTTTCTTTCTTGATACTGGGGGTTGAGCTGAAGGCTTCCACATACCTGGCAAGTATGTTCCCCACTGAGCTAAAGGGAGTTGAACTTTCTTAGTAGCCTACTACAAAGTATCAGCAAAGTGTAGGCAGGCCACAAGCCTGTGATCCACCTGCCTCAGTCTTCCAGGCAGCTGGATTATAGGGCTATAGCACAGGCCCAGGTGCTAAGATCTCTCTCTCTCCCCCCCTCCTCCCGCTCGCCTCCCTTTCCCCCCTCTCTCCCTCCCTCCCTCCCCCTCCCCCCCCCCCTTTTCCCCCCCCCCCCCCCGTAAAGTGGATATAATACTTTGCCTTCAAAGACCTGAAGCCCTTAGCTAAGTGAGTGATGTAGCATAGAGCATGTTTAATAATGTCTATAATGTTGCTGCTAACAAAACTCAGTGTCAGCATTAGTGTGGTCAGCTACATGTATGTAAAAGCTAAGGGCACTGGCTATTCTCGCAGAGGTTCAATTCTCAGTACCATATGGTGGCTCACAGCCATCAGTAACTCCATTTCCAGGGGACTCCATAACCTCTGCCCTCCACAGACATTAGATATGCATGCGATGCACAGAAGTACAAAGAAGCAAAATACCAGTTCACAGAGAATAAAAAGAAATAAAATTAAGAAGAAAAAGGCTCGCTTTAGCCAAGCAAACAGCCACAAGTCCCAACAACGGGATTCTAGTCTTAATTCTAACTATTTTTGACTCTGGGCAGGCCTTAATTACCATCCCATCCCCCTCTCAACCGCACCACACCCCAGGGCTTTGCACATGCTAAGTGCATGTCCTAACCACTGCGCCAATTCTCCAGCCCTGATTTTTCTAGTATTTCCTGCCACGTGTAAGGAACAGGGATTTGTACCCTACCCCAAATGAAATAGTATCAACAACAAAAACACTTATAAGACTCATTGTAGCAAAGAACCACTGTATTCCTTGTCATAATAATATAGAAGATACCTGCTCACAAGAGCTGAGTAAACATACACTTTCTGTTTATTTATAATTACTAAATAAGGTAGGAGAAACTATCTAGGGGCACGCAATACATGTTTTATAGCCAGCACAAGAGAACTTATAATCAGGAGTAAAGGAGACCAATATCCACTTCCATAATTCAAAGTCTAAGTGGAGAACTATCCTAACTTAACAATTTACTCCCCTATAGGTTATTTACCTCATTACAATTCACCTGAAACAACTTACTAAAACAAAAACAAACCTCAGAAGTCTTTCATTTCCTTGAAGATAAAATGTGAAAAG